AATCTCAAAATTTCCTATAAAAATAATGATTTTCAGGATCTGTTTGATTATTAGGCTTGTGCGTGTTCATTTTTGCTAACATTTTAGCAAGTTACATGTCTAACAAATGATGTTTGAAGCCTGTTTGTGAAATACACCCTCCTAATAAACAGAACTTACTAGTTAACTAAATAAACAGTAGCTTTCCTTTTTCAGACACAGCTCCCCTCAGGGTACTGGAGCTCTGACACAGACACTTGTCTGCACTACAAAGCAGGCTGGGTGTTTAGGAGCGTTTCTGAAGACGACTCATGGCCATCCTGAGAAATAGAACTTCAGGTGCAAGTGCTGGGCATGAAGCTGCTGCCTTCCCACTGCCTGGCCCAGCTCAGAGAGGTGACATCCGTGACACCAATGTGCACTGGGGGCTGCTAGCTGCGCTTTTGAACTCAGGGATTGTGCCTGGTGGGGCTGGTCGCTGGCTGCCTCTTCAAATAGAACTCTTCAGTGATGCTGTTAAAAATAAGTGATGTCAGTTGAAATGGGGAAAACAAAGTCAAACTCCATATAGGTAAAAGTGCTTTTTCTCTAGCTTATAGCTTATGAGACACGAGGATGCATTGACTCTATCCAACTTCCTTGGGATCCACAGCCCTGTGGCAAAGTCCATCGTAGCTGGATGAATGCAGAACAGTTTTTGGCAGGAAGTTCACTTCCATACCTTTGTTTTCCCTGCAATGTGTTATCTCCACCCTGCAAGCTTGTGTCTTCCTGTGCAGAGGAAGACAATACTCAGCAATTGTGAATTAAATCCAGACTTGAGCTGTGTCATTGTTCAATCAGAGCATCCCCGGTGAGAGCCGAGGGGGTGGCAGTGCAGTGCAAGTCTGTTCCTGACAGCCTAATTCCAGGGCTGGGACCAGGGCAGGGCAGCTCTCCCTGCCTCCTGCACTGAGGGTCTGTGCGGCGGTGTGACATTCCCTCTGCCTCCAGCTGCTGGCCTGCCAAGGAGGCAAGGCTTTTTATTAGCAAAGCACTCCTTTTAGCTCGGGTGACAGCAGCCTGTGGGTTTCATGCTGGTGATGGCAGTTCTGTCCCTCGTGGTGCACATATATATGTGAAAGCATAATACATTTCACTTGTCGCTTCAGTTTGCTTGGCATTTTCCCTTGTCATTATGATGACAGAAGGGTTCATCTCAGAGTGCCACCAAGGGCAGAGTGCCTTGCAGAGATACAAAATTGTTGAGAAATTCAGTGTGGACATGTAAGGAGCATATTAGAGGGCACATCAGCCCTCATCCAAGGTATGCCCTACCTCTGCTGCTGTTTAACATCCTGCTTCTCATGTTTGTTGTGGCTTTTGGTTAAAGTTTTAGGAATGCACATTCCAATCTCTGTGCTGCTGCCAAAGTCAAACTGACTGGAATGAAGATAATGATTCACAGTAAAATACTAATCCAACAGTATAATGGGGGAATGTGTGGAAGAGGGAGAAAATAGAGAGGACAGAGAAAAAGCCACTCATCTAAGGTAATCAGCATCCAGACATTACTGGTTATTGTAACTCCAAAGTGCAGATTATAAGGCAAGTTTTCAAACAGCCTTCAAAAATAGCTCCCAATTTTGCACACCAAGACACTCATTCAAAGGTGGTTGAGGACAATACTAGGTCTAACACTGACTTTTTTGGCTTTGGATCCAGTTTCCAAAATTTTATGGGTATACAATATATGAAACATAAACATGATGAACAGATCACCACACTCCAGAAGTTCTCAGTACTTTGTCCTCCCAAAAGCATTCTCCTTTAGGAGACACTTTACAAGCTGTTTCTTTAGTATGGAAATAACTTATCTCCAAAGGGAGTGCAGCTGGCCCAGAGGACCTCCACACTTTGTGTGCTGTTAGTCATTACCAGTGACTTGGGGTGTCAGTGTCAGACTATTGTCCCAAATGTAGGCTCCTCACCTGATGTACAGCACCAATTCACACACCAAGGTGAGGTATTTCCAATTTTCATTCTAATTTGTGCAAAGTAGGGAGCTAGATGAGCAAAAGGCTGGCTTACTGGGCATCAAAACTTTACACTATTATGTTTTCATATCATAGGCATCAGCATTCATTGGTTAGAGATTACATAATTTTTTAAAAATTAGTACTCAAATTCCTATTTGCTAGTTAAAGCTCTTGGTTCTCATGCAAATTAGCCTGCCTGTGCAGGCAGGAGTTTTTCCCTCCATTTGAGTCTGGGGTCTGTTTTGAGTAGATGGTCAATGAGTCAGTGATTGCAATCTCCCACTGCCAGAATTACCTTTCCCTCAGTTAATGCTCAGTTCTGCTGACTTCCCTCCTGGTGGCTCCCAGACAGTCAGCCCATTCATCTTGGAATTGTCTTCCCTCTTCCTTAAAACAAAAGATTAGCCAAGCATACAATGTTCACAAAGCAGTTGCTTAATCACAACTGTCCCTCTACAGCTACTTTAAAAAGATTGCAAAGTTTGATTCAAACCTTGAGGGGTCTGATATTAAGACTTATGTGTCAATGTCAGACTGTGCTGACTCTAGCAGGATCCATCAATAATGACTGCTTTTCAAAAGAGGGAGAGGAAAAGGAACAAACTTAAGGAGGTGGGAGGATGTCAGTTAGGCAGGAGAGTCAGTGGGAGCTGCTCAGTCAGTGCCCTCTGTGCCCCATGAGCTTTCTCACGCCTGACTGTTGCCGAGTGCCAAGGCTTCCCTTGGTGATTGCCACACAGCATATATAAGGGCAAGCTAAGCTATCAGTTTTGGGGACCAAAACTGCCTTATTCCATACTTGTGCCCATCCCGAGGGTAGAGAGCAGCAAAGCCACAAGTTTGTGGTTGCTCTGGGGCTGCAGTGGCAGCAGCTTTTTGCTCCTCCGCCTGGGCCAAAAAAAAAAAAGGGCATTTGGTGTCTTCCATTGCATTTCCTCAGCTACTCAAGCTTGGCACTGAACTGAGAGGTTGCTGTCACCTCAACAGGCTCTTAAACACCAGTAAGGCCTTGGCAGTGGTTGGTTTTAGGAACAGTGGTGGCTGCTGTGTGAGGTGTCAGGAATCCCCGCCGTGGAGCTTGTGGGTTAGTGCTGCCACTGGATGGTGGGTTTTATCAGTCCTTCCCTTGGCTTTTCCCACACAACCTTTCAGTTGTCTTGATGTCTTTGAGTGCCTTGGCTGCTTTGTGTGGGAGCTAGGTTTGGTCCCAGTAACACTGTCAGCACTGTCAGCCAGAGCAGTCACTGCAGTGCCTGTAGGGGAGACATGGCTCATTTCCAGCCAGCACCTCCGGATGTGGAGGACAGCAATGCTTCCTTTTACAGAAGGGTTGAATCTCCTGCTTGGGACTGTTTTGATCTGTAGACTGTCAGAACTTGTTAGTCTGCTTTAGGGAATGGGGAGGTTTAGAAACTGTCCCTCGTGTAGCTGTTTTACCCCGTGAGCTGGTCTGGTGCTGCCCTCGGGGTGTGTGCCTGCCTGCCATACAAAGAAGGGTTTGGGAGTGCAAAGCAGCCCAGCTGAGCAAGGTGAAGGCATCCCTGTAACGTGTGATGTGTCCTTTTTGCATTAACCAGGGTACTGCTGGTCAGGCTGCTGCAGCCCAAGCTTTTGCAAGGCTGACACACAAGCACAACCCCACTGAGGGACTATGCTGAGCCCTGGCTGCTCGGTGCCTGCTGTAATGTGCTAGAAGGGCTTGATGAATGTGGCAGCATGTGTTTGCCCCAGGCAGGTCTGCTCCCCTGGGAGTCCCTGCCGCAGGTCTGAACAGAGCTGCTGGTGTGGAGCACATTTGGTGCGCTGGGCTATGTTGCAGGGAGAGGGACAGTGACTGCTTTGGGGCAGTGCCTTGCTGAGGTGCCCAAGGTGTGGTGATTGTGCAGGTGGCTTATTTGCAGTCTGTCACTGTCCAGATGCCTGTCCTGCTCTGTCATGCGCCTGCTGGTTTGATGGTATTGGGGAACACAATTCCAGCCAAGTGCTTAGCGCACAGCCCTAAGGAAGTGTGGGTCAGTCCTTACACTTCTCACTTTTATTTGGTCAGAGGTGCCCTGTGTCCTCTGGGTGAAGGTGGGAGCCATGGTTTGTGTGGGGGAGGACTGGACTCTGAGGACAGCAGGGAGCAGTGCCGACACCAGTGCACAGTCTAGGCCAGCCATAAAGCCCCAGGTCTCAGTCCCATTCCTGCCTATGGGATCTGCATGCATGGTAGGAAAGGGTACAGCCTCCTACTGATCCTAATTAAAACCACAGATAACCTGCTCTTCAGCAAGTAGAGAAACTGCTGTACTGAAAAATTAAAAGATTTTGATATGTGAGTTGCGTGTATATGCAAGCAGCAGACCAAGACAACCACGCTTAATTTTGCAATCCTAGATTAACTTCTGTGAATCTAATTGGATTAATTTTTTCTTTCTGTCAGCTTCAACATGACTGTCCAGTCATAATACAGAAATATTTTGAAAATAAGAAAAATATGAGAGTATTAAAAAGTGATTATTTTAATTTCTCATATGCAGGCTTACCAATAAACAAATGAGGAATTGCACTGAAATATGTATGAACAAAAGGAAAACTCTAGCTGATAGACTTTATTTTAGTGGTCAATTCAATTTAAAACTCTCAAGTTGGCGGTGTTAGCCTAATTTTCTATTTATTGAAGAAATAAGCTTGCTGAGGCTTAACCCAGCAGTCTAGCAGCTTGGTGGGCTCCTCTTCCTATAAAGGACTGAGGTAATATTTCTTGTGGCATTACAAAGGTGAAAGTCATTTGTGTGGAACTTTCTATTCCCTTGGAAAGGTTGTTGTAGAAAGCTTTGGAGAGAAACAATTCTTTATTGTAAATTCCACTGGAGGGTCACTCTGCATATTGCAAGTTGTTCAGGCATGCACTTGTGATTTTGTTTTGTTTCTCGGTGTTCTTTTTTAAAACTAATATCCAGAAGTCATTTCAAATTGTACACAAAACAATTTACAAATGAACAGGAGTTCTGTCTCCCCTTTTCCCAAAAGTTATGTTTTATTTCTTAATTGACAAAACATGCATCTTTTATAAAGTGTAGTTGCAAGGAGACAGTGCTTTATGCCTCACCTCGTGGAAGTGTGTGCCATTTGCATGCGGTGTACAAAATGAATATGGAAGATGCTGTACATTAGAAGATTTGAGTACCCCAGTGACAAGGGATCTTGCACCAGATGGAAGCAAGGCTCAGAACTTGCCATGCAGGAAATAACCCACAAAAATGTCAGAAAGCTGCTCTATATGCTAATGTGTTTTAAGTATGCAGTGGAAGCAAGTGGAAGACTGTGAAATATGAGGGGTAGTGGGAAGAGTGGAGTGGGCATTTCCAGGACCACTCATTGCATCTGGAAACCGTGCTAGCTGTGGCTTTAGTTTTTGTTGATAGAAGCCCCATGTGTAAGGAGAAGAGAAGGGGAATTATTAAAAAGATGTCTTCAAAAATTGTGACACATGGGAAGAAACCATGGTTTAATACAAGCATCTTTCACTTGGAAGAATCTTGATGCACATTAGAAATATGATGTAGAAGCTGTGCAGAACAATGCCATAGAACAGAGCCTGCAACCTGATTTCCTAAAACCAAGAGCAGATGCTTAAGTGATGTGTATCGACATAGCAAAATGTGGCCTTGCTTCTTGCTACAGGTTACTAGATGCCTCTGTGGTGCTGAGGAAGGCTGCCAAGGAAAAGAAGGAGAGAAAGATAAACACAGGGAAAAATCCATGGATAGGATTCACAGGGCAGGAAATAGTGAAATGAGGAGGAAAGAAAAGTGATTAAGAAGATAAAAAGTTGAAATGAGTCTCTCTCCCTTAGGTCTTTGAGATGTTCATATAATTTTCTAATCGTGATTTTTTTCCCACAGCTCATTCATAGTTATGTCTTCTACTTACAGCAGAAACATCAAAAATTTATATTTAAGCACTGATTCATAGAAGCATAGAAATTAGCTGAGTAGGAAGGAGTAATTTAATCATATATCATCATCTATAGGTGATCACCTGCATGGGAGTAATGAAGTACAGATCCCCTGGCAGTGTAAGAGAGGAAGGGAGCAATGTTTGCAAATGTACATAGAGTAAAATAGAGAATGTTAAAGAATAAATTTACAGTTGATGAACCTGGAATTTATCCAAAGTCAGATAATTAAAAGAAAAAAAAAAATTTTGGCCCCCAGTGAAAAACAGACAGTAATTAGAAAGGGTGACTATATATTGCATAGGACTCTTATGAAATCCTACTTGAACAATAAAAAATATCACAAGATTTACTGTGTCTACTTAAGCAATAAAGCAATTTGAGTTAATTCTTCATAGAAATCATTTGTGTGTGTAAAGGATGAACATAAACCAGCTTGTCTCTTATTGATATTTGCAATGGTTAAACAATACTGAGGCACAAGGACTATCTCTGCACTTAAGCTGGAAGCTTATGTTTCCCCTCAACACTCTAATGCTCTTTACTTTTTGATAATTGGAATTCACAACAGAAGAGTGGAGTCCTTAGGAAAGATTCCTTTATTCTTTTAATATCTTGTCTTGGATAAACACAAGTTTTTAAAGTTTTTTTGTTTGGTTGGGTTTTTTTTGGTTTTGTTTTTGTGGGGTTTTTCTTTTTTTTGTTTGTTTTTATTTTTTGTTCCTTCCTTGGACATGCAAAGGACAAAGAAATAAGAAGTAATAACTACAGAAAACTGGAGAGCTCAGGTGCAGTGAAGTCTGAATAGTGACAGCCTTTTACAAAAAGTTGGTGAGGCAAGGGCTTTGTTTTAAACCTTCTGGGAAGTTCAACCCCATTATCTTTCTCCATGCAGGAAGATGAGCAAAATTAATCCCGTGTTGTGAACAACTTGGTACATCATTGTGGTGAGGATCCCACGACTTTAAAGTACTGTGCATGAGCCAAATCCAAGTGGCTTAGGGTATATGCAACTCTTAACGTGTTTTTGCTGTGTCTGTGTATGCTGTGCACTAGATAGCTTACCTCAGAAGAGGATGTATGGGGAACGTGGAGAAAAAAAGACAGGCAATACACACAAATTCCTCCACGGTGACTGCTTTTCTTTCAGGAGTTTTACCATATCAGAAGTGGTTTTGAGAAAGAAAAAAACCCATCAGCTGCAAGGAACAGGAGAGATGTGGAAAGATCATGGAGGTGGTGAGGACAAAGCTTGCAGAGAAGTGAGTTGTGGTTGGCACAGGCAGAAGAGCAGGAGCTGAGTGAAACCTGAGTAGCTTGTGCAGGTCCCTAAAAGCAAAGATACAGGTCCATAAAATAATAATACGAGGATCAATTTTAATGTGGAAGAAAGGAAACAAAAGGATAGGGTACAGAAGAAAGGCAACAAGATTAAAAAATAGGTAAAATAACATTTTAAGAGTCTGTCTTTTGCAAGGGACAACTTGTTGATTGATGCAATCTTCAGGGATGTATGGACTCACTTCAAATAACTGTCTGCTTATAGTGAGTAAAAACCTTCTGGATATGGCCTGGATACATGTAAGACAGTAAAATCTTGCAGACTTGAGCAGCCACAATCATGGGAATTCTGATAACTGCAGAGAGAGGGGGAGAGAATAGGGGCTTGCCCCAGTAGGACCACAATAAATTTAGGGATTAGAGAGAGTCAGAAACCCAAAGACAGGACAGTCAGGAAGTGAGGGCTGTAAAGCAAGGCACCTTTGCAAGGGCATCATTACCAAAAATAAGGCTTTGAGGTTGCAGGATGGTTTAGAGAGGTTGAGGAAGATGGAGGTAGTCTGTAGGTCTTGAATACATCACTAAGAGCTTGTTGGGAAGATCTTGTATTGCACAACATGGTGTGGGTGGGCCTGATCCAGGATAGATATGAATGAGGAGTTACTATGGACAGGTCAAGAAATATCTACAAACCCATTGTAAAAGCAGCAAAAACTCAGCAGAAAAAAAAAAAAAAGAAAAGAAAATATGTTGTCAAACAGTGGTCAGACTAGCAAAAGTTTTCAATTTCATGAGAAAACTGGTAATTTCTGATCAAGTTGAGTTGTTTTAAGTAGCCAATCCTTTATATTGTTCCTGACTTTGATTCTGATCATGGGGAAAACATACATCTTCATCAATCTAGTGGCATTTGTTGGAAAACATTCTCTGTGTTTAGATAATGACTTAATTAGAAAATCAGTAGTCAGCTGGCAGTGAATGGTGAGTCTTTATTTAAGAGGAAAGCAAGGAAATTAGCCATCCATCTGTTTTTTCCTCTTAATTACCTCTAAATATTAAAATTGAATACAGCCTTCAACCTGATTGGTTGTTTGAGTGGTAATAGCTGTATTCACATACTAAAGGGAAGCCTTTAGTAGAAATAAAGATGATGCAGCTCCTGTATTTTATAGCTTTCATCCATGTTTCTGAAGCACTGCTACCTATGACAGCTGCTGTGGAGATCACACTCAGCATTTCCAGCCCTTCAGCCACATTTATGGCTTTAAATGAGCATCAGTCTTGGCAACAGAGTTGACTGAGGTGTTGTTTTTCCATGAGAAACATGACTGCACACAGCATGTCAGAGCAGTGTTGAGCTGGGAGGCTGGTCCCACTTTGAGGTTTGTTGTTTGTAGGGGGCCTGGATTAGCTGGCCTCCAGAGAACCCATCCAACCTAAATTATTCTGTGTGCCATGTGCCCTTAGGAGCAGTAGCCAGAGCTGGAAGCATCTCTCATTTTGTTGGTTTTCCCCTCTGAAGCAGCTTGCACCAGCACTATTCCCACCCCTTCCCTTCTCCTAGCAGAGACCCCTGTGCAGCCCACCCACAGCTGAGCTAGAGCCCCAGAGGCAGCCCCAAAGAACCTGGCTGGGGTACAGCTTCTGCCTCCCCTGAGTTCCTTGGGGTGGCTCAGACAGTCTGCTGGGTCAGTCTTGCAAATTTACTCTTCCCTTTCTGGTCATCACAGCAGCTGGGCACCCTTGTGCACCCAAGGGACACCAAAATCTGCTCTCTTCTAGCCATATTTGCTTGTGTGTCCTGTTTTCTCTGCCACAGTCAACTTGTTTCACAAATTGTGCTGAGTCCTTGTTCTTTAATAATAAATTCTCTTGCACTTTCTGAAAGAAAAAAAATATTCTGCAGCACTTCTTACAAATACCAAATTTTTATTTTAATTTCCAGTTCATTTTTGTGTTGGATTTTTTTTTTTTTTCCCCCTTAATAGCATACCAACTCTGGGGAGCTGCTTTGGAAGCTTTGTTGATAGGCAGAGTCAGGATACACTTCCCTGCTTTCAATCAACAATTTCCACCTCCAACAAGCTGCAAAAAGGAAAAACCATAATGGATGTCTGTGCTTCCTCACTAAAAGGAATTTTCAGTGGCTGAGGTAATTTTCCTATCTTTTTAGGTATTAATATTTGCTAGCAGGGAATCCAAAGGTATCTGGTGGAGGCAACTGCAACAGTAGATTCAGAAGGACAGCTGGAGATGAACCTCCCAAACTCAGGCAGGGAGTCCTGAAAAAAGAAACCCAGTGCATGTGGGTAAGCAGCAGGTCATGCTTTTGTCACCTTCAGACTTGGTTTACGCTCAGCTTGTGGCACTGCATCTTTCCAGTCAAATGCTTTCTCTCACCAATAAGCATGTAATTTCTCAGTTCCATTTGCAGTTTATTACTCACATATTACTTACACTTCCTTGACTCTTGATAAGAAAAATGATTGTCATCTTGTAAATTTTCAAAACATTTTTAAGAGATGGCTTCCAGTGCTGTTACATCACTTTTGCTACCTTTAGTATTTGTTTTGATGGATTGAAGCCACCATACTATAGTTTTCACAGTTATTGGATGTCAGGTTGACATACCTTTGTTGTGTATTGGTGTAATTCAAAAAGAATTTGTCCAGAAAAATGGACAGGGAAGAAAATTAGGGTGCAAGGTGGTAATAAATATTTAAATGGTGCTTAGGAGTTTCTAATGGACAATACCAAAGTCTTGGCTTTGATTTTACCCCTTCCCAGGGGTAAAATCAGTGATTTCCACTGTATTTGAATTAGAAAATTTTAACTTCTCCATAAGCACAAAAAGTAGGATACAAAGGACTTTTTGTCTCTCAGGACAGGGGAAGTAGGTCTGTGAAGGGCTCCCAGAGCAAGAAATCCTACCAGAGCACCTGACCATATGTTAAATGGGCAAGACTGCCATTGCAAATTATGAGATGACAACAAGGCATATGTGCAGACTGCTATTTAAAATAATTTTGTTTACCTAATTTTTTTCCCTGATATTCAGAAATAATAAGGTTTAACTGATGTTTTTTAATTTCTATATATAGCTGGCCTGCTGAGAAGATATGAAGTTGTCTGAGTTGGTGGGGGTAGGATCCATATATCCTTGGGGTTGTGCACCACAACATTCAGGTGAAGTGTGGCACAAGTGAAAAATACCACCCCATAACTGACTAAGGCACAAGGCCTGAAGAGATAGGGTGACTGGTATCAAAAGTGTGACCACTCAGATGTGCAGCTAGTTTTACAAGTATGATACTCGCCAGCTGCATCCTCTCAATTGCCGAATTACCTGCACAGGTGTCTGCCCAATGCCTTGAATGTAAATCTGGAATATTACACAAAGAGAGCCACTTGAACAATTCCTTTGGGTTATGAAATGGGATCATTTCTAGATACAATGAACTGAACTTTGCTTTCTGTTTTGGGAGTGTATTCCTGAAGAAAGGAATAGTTTATGCTGCCTCAACCCAAGGTGGAAGTGGTGGTAATTTTCCTCCTAAATGACTGTTACAGCTTTTTCACCATGCCATAGTAAAGATGTGCTGTTTAGCTGTCATAACATGAAGTGTTTATTAATTTTTAAATATGTACTTATGAGGTTTAGTTTATACAGTACATAATTTAGATGTCTGAATCTTAAATGGAAAAAGTATAAAAGTGAATATTGTTGCTTCTTGAATCATCAATTACACAAAATGTCTTAGACATGAATACCTAATACTAATAATATTTTTTGTTGTTTCATTGCTAAAAAATCTTTTCCTTTGTAGAATAAATTTATTTCAAACCCTTTACTATGAATAACACTAGAGATTAAAAAAATGGTATAATGAATTACAGGCTGAAGAACAGTCAAGCAAATAGGCAAACACAAAAATCCCCTTTATCAAGGGAAACAGTGGCAGAGTCAAATAGTTTTGCTCATTTTTAAGGCCAGGAGTCATGCCAGCATCATCTTCTCTCAGTACTTTTAAGTATGTTCTCGACACCTGATGAGCTTTCTAAAGGCCAGCTTGAAATCCTCGTTAAAGCTCGTGTACAGCAAAGGGTTGATGAGTGAGTTGACATACCCAAGCCAGGTCAAGAAGTCTGCTACTTCTGGAGAGACAGTGCAAATATGGAGACCCACAAGCAGTTCCTTGATGAAAAAGGGCAACCAGGACAAAATGAAAGCACCTAAAATCAGCCCCAAAATGCGAGCAGCCTTTCGTTCTCGTGTCGTGGAGATCTGCTGCCGGTCACCAGCTGGGTCCAAGTCATTCTCGAAAGGAGGGATCCTCACGGATGCGTTGATTTTATCAAACTCTGTGGTTGGGTCAGATGTGGAGAAGTCTGAGACGCAGAATGTCTGTGTGAGCTTGCAGCTGGCAAAAGAATTCTGGCTGTCAGTGCTCCTGTTGCTGAGGTGGCGGCTTGAACCCCGCTTTTGGTAAAGGCTCTTTGCAGCGTGGTAAATTCTGTAGTACAGGATCAGGATCAAAGTCAAGGGGATGTAAAATGCCCCGAATGTGGAATAAATAGTGTAGATGACATGGTCATGCTGAATGCGACACTCACTGGGAATACTGATGCTGTGGTGATTTCTCCAAAACAAGGGGGGCATTGATATGAAAACAGAGATAGTCCACACGGTGACTATCATCAGCCCAGCCCTTTTTGCCGTTCTTTTCCTGGCGTATTCGATGGCGTCTGTGATGGCCCAGTACCTGTCCAGCGCAATGACGCACAGATGAAGGATCGAACACGTGCAACAGGTCATGTCGACGCTGAGCCAGATCTCACAGATGAAGTACCCCAAAGTCCATTTATCTATCATTATGTAAGTGATGCTCAAGGGCATGACGAGAACAGCAACAAGGAGATCTGTCACAGCCAGTGAACATATGAGATAATTTGCTGGCTGGTGGAGCTTCTTGGTTGTGGAGATTGCTGCAATTACAGCAGAATTCAGCAGCATAGTCAAGGTTGTGATTGTGGCCAAGGTCAGGGTAACGAGCATCTTTTCAGTTACTGTCTTTGGCTTTGCAGCCTCACTGGCTTCAGTGGTGCAATTTGTGAAATTCATTTTCCCCTCCAGGATGCAAGAAGTTGGTAATGAAAAGTTCCAGGTTCAGAAGTTATCCATTTGAAAGAGATGCTCTATATGCAATAAAAAAAAAATTTATAATCCCATATTCAACAGAGCAGAAAAAAACCTCCCAGGTTTCTTCCTGGAAAGAAGAAATTCATTGTTCATTGTTTTCCTAGAAGATAAAAACACATCTGTTAGTCAAACTAGCATAATCCCACCTTTTGGTAAAAAAGTTTTGCATTTCTAATATTATAATCTCAAATAAAATGTTGATCTGTTTTCCTTTCTCTTCTCTTGCCTTTTCTCTCCCCTTTTCTCTCCATTCATCATTCATTTTTTCTTCTCTAAAGGGCAATTTGGGCCAGATATCCTGCTGATGTGACATGGTTATTCCTTCTTCATTTTGGAGATTTTACTTAAAGTAGGAGGCTGGACTAACAGACCTCCACAGGTCCCTTTTCACAAACATGTCTATGATCTTTGTGATACTGATACCAGGAGCTAGCCCTTTTCCTGCTTGTTAAAATACTCTCCAGCAGATGAAGAGCTGAGGGAATTTGCCTCTTCATTTTAATGTCTATATGAGAGGCATAAATTACTTTTATATATCATCTTTGTAAAAAAAGCAGCAGAGCAGCCTATCTGAGCAAAGGCATGCCAGCATTTCATACCTTTCTATTCTGCTTTTTCATATCCATGTCTGTATTAATATATTAGAAACGCACTTAAAAATTACTCGTTACTTTTGTCATGCAGGTTTTCAACAATGTTTAAAGCTTTATGGCAAATGCTTGGTTTTACACAGTACATCATTGTTGCTAGGAGCTCATATAGTTTTGTCTAATTATTCGTGACATTTCACATATCCCACTGTGAGTGTCTTTAGAGGAGACAGACAAAAAGCTTCTGCCATTGCTTTGAGATTTTCATGTAATTATGCTCCCTGTCAGGCAGTCCAGCGTGATGCAAGGAACAATAATTAAAAAAAAGTTTAGTTTTATTTCAGAAGTTCACATGTCTACATCCCAAATGTTAACTGAAGCCAGAGTTAACAGTCCATGAGAAGCAGCTTGGGATGACCTCTGGGACCTTGCTTACCCATTTGTAATTTATCTTGGCATAAAGGATGTGGAAAACTGAAAGTCAGAATCCTTATCCACTGAAATAAACAGAAAGATTCCTTCCCCTGGCTTCATTTATCAGAGTAAGGAGGCTTCTAGGTTAGTTGTACAGGCTCCTTTTACAAGCAGAGGAAAAAGATAGCAGTTGCTGGAAATACACTTGTCCCCTTTCAAGACAAGCCCTTAAGGAAGATGCCATGAATCACATCCTGGAAATGCTGATCTTTCTCTATTTTCACTACAAGTGGTTCCTCCACAGTTGCATTTAGAATACATACCTGATTTTTAGATGGCTAAATCTGAGATGTAAAACCCATTCTCACTGACACCAGTGGAATTTGGATTAGGCTCTGGGTTTGCACATGCAAGCTAATGAGGAATTAAGAAATTGAATGAGGAATTATGCATTTAAAGCTAGTTGACTGCTTGGCTCTGTGTACATATGCTCTTCTTCAGAAACTGGAGTGCCATTTCAAAATGAGCTGAATGAGGAAAAATTAAAATTAGAAACTTTAGATAAAAACTTCTATTTGTGGATAGGCTCTAGGAAAGCAGATCCGGACTGCTGTAGTCTCTGGGTTAGCAAAATATGAGTTTTAATTCTGTTCAAGGAATAGCAGAACTGCCTTTCTCCCAAAGCATATTCTACTCTTAAGAAACTACTTTAAACAGCTTTAAACTACAAAGAGCCTTGGAGGAAATATTAGGCCTGCTTATTGAAAATTGACTGGAGAAGTCAGATGGAAATCCACCCATCAGTCTTCATGTGGTTACCACATACAGAAGTGTCAATTTGATTGTTTAGGGCTAAAGCCAAAATATCAGCTCAAATCTTCATAAATTGTTCATGGGAGTATTTTCTGTCAAGCCAGATTCTGATTTCCTTAGTTTGCACCCTTATTATATCTGATGCTTTGATCAGAGGATAAAACAAATAGGCTTTCTCTCCCTCTCTGCACTGCTGGAGCACAGACCAAAACCAATTGTAATCCATATCCTTTCTTCAGCACTATTATTTAGTGAGTGTACCCCAGTCCACAAGCACACTCAAGATGTGGACTGTGGAATTCACATCTCCTCCACAACCACTTTCTGATCCATTGCCCACACAGGAAGTCTTGTGATGCTTCTTGGTGTGAGCATCACTCCTTCTTGCTTGTCCTTCACTCCTCTGGGGCCCAGAAGTTTCATTATTCCCACCCTGTGTCGTCCCCACCATTTTCTCTGCTGAGCACTGCCTATATACATGTTTAATGCAGTAAGACCTGAATTGCTGTGGTTCTCCCCCAAGATGGCCTACACTGATGTATCCCAAGGAAAATCCTTTCTGAGTTCTACCTGTTCCCTGTACCTCAAGGACACTCTGAAAAAGAAATTCTTGCTTTCCTTAATCATCTTGTATTTAAATAAACTTAATCAGATCCAAACATCAATTTTCCTTTAGGACAAAGGATACCACTTATAACACAGGGGAGTTTGGCTTTATGAGTCTGCTGAGGAGGGCCAACATTTTTTTTGACTTGAAAGCAGTGCAATAATTGAAGACAAGGAAAAATATAAACACAGCATCATTCCTGCCTGCAGGCACCTCAGACCTTGCAAGCCCATCATAATCCAAACCCATCACTGGAGAGTTAATTCAGTTTTAATACCCGTGTTCCTTACAGGAAGTGAGCACTTAACAATCCAGACAATATAAATACCACATAAGAGCACTAAGCCAGTATTATTAAGGCAGTATATTTAAATGCTGAAAAGTAATTTCAGCTTTTGAGAGCTGAAGGTTTCTTCTACAGCTTAAGTTTGTGCCTCTTGTCCTTCCTTACCCACATGATGAGGATACACACTGGCATTAGAACTAGTTAGTTATAATTAGTTAACTGTAGCACTGGCTATTCACCTCCCAGCTCACCTCCTGTGCCAGAGCAGCCTGAGACTCTCCTGAGCTGCTGGTGCCATCTCAGCATTGCCTCCAGGGCTCATGTCCACTCTCCTGCAGTGCCTACTCCCCAGCCACTCTCCCACTGTCCTTGCTTGTCCAACTGTCTTCTCTCTACTTTTGAATTAGAAGACAAAGATAGAGAGTACTTTGACCCAGGAAAGAAATTATGTTTTAAACTGGGAAGTGATTTACAAAGAGATGCCAGTGATTGACCTTGTTATTAATAGAGGGCAGAATTTAAATGCTACTTATCATCAATCTTTTAAAAATGCAGGTGTGTTTGTGGACATAACATGAGAGTTAACAAGGAGAATTTTACTATATTGAAGCAATAATAGCTGGTTTCCAGCATCTCCATCACTTGCATACAATTGCTATATATAGTATTGCTATCACTATAGTAATTGATTGTGGTTTTCTAAGTGACATCTTGGAAGGGACATTAATAACAGTTATTTAAAGTGCTCTCACTAAATGCACTGCTGTGTTTATGTTTTGCAGCTGTATCACTTCAGGCTGTCAGTCATTTCCTACAGGGAGGATTTTACACACACAGACTAATTTCCCACATTTGGTGCAAGAAACTCATTTGGCTTCCTCCAAATGGGAATCAATCTTGTTTCATATTAGCTGATTATTGGTAATGGCTTTGAGTGCTGTTTAGGAGGAAGAAAGGGGAAAGAGTTTGATTAATTGTTCTTTAAAAGGAACTGGACAACTTGAGATGGTGAGATGGCAATGTCCATGTCTCCTCAGCAGAGGACCACGTGTAGCAGGGTACTCTGGATTTCTGTTGGACAGATTGACTCCCACTCCTTGGCCATTGAACCATTTCATAACAAATGGAATAATATCACTTGGAGCAAAGAAGTGGAACTGGCATTGCAAATATGTATGTACAGGGCAGATTAGTTCCTTTACATCCACGGTTTTACATTTCCTCTAAGCAATTATTGCACTGTATGACTGCTACATCTTTGTGCCCTTGATAGCAATAAGTCAGTTTGATTCTGTTAAACTCTGAATTGGTCTGAGTGCTTTTCACTTTCAATATTTCCACGACTGGAGCTCTGAAGGGCAAGAATCTGTGCCGTGATTTGTGAGACAGTTTATGGAAAATACGACTTAGCACATCTATGATAATGCTAATATTTCAAGCTACAAAAAGATGCTAAACTTTCACTGCTCTTCCCCTTCCTTCAAAGAGGTTTTCTCTTCCAAATTCTCTTCCAAAGGCCCTGAAATTCAGGCCTTTCACTTGTAACTTTGTACTGTTGTTTTTGTAAAGTTACCAAACCTTGGACTTCATGGCTCCTTGGTAATCAAATTATGCAGATGAGTTTAACTGAAGATTATAGGTTTCCAAATACAAAGTATTGTACTCTGGTATTGCTTTGGGTTTCTAAGGATGTCAGTCTGCAGAGGTCACGTTATGGATTTATATAGGAACGGAAGCTGTTTGTAACATGTCGTATTTGGAAAAGCAGCACTCAAAAGCTGAGAGAGTGGAGATGGTCAGAATCACACCAACCCGTGGCAAAATTGTCAGCAAAACAAAATCTTCTTGTCACCAAGCAGTTCATATTCACATCCAAAGCATGAGATTTTGATGCCAGTTGGAGCCAAAATGAAAGCAAACTATTAGAAGGTGCATTGGGGTTGCCTGAGAGAAGCATAAACTGGGGTAGCACAATAATGGAAATCACTATTTTTGTGTGAAACCCAAAATTTTACAGGAACATGTCTGAGGAATTTGTAGCTGCATTATGGGACCATAGATTTAGGGATGCAACCTTTTCCTACACAGACTGAATGAGGCCAGGAATGAAATTACTTTGAAATTTGTATGAGCTGACCTATAAAATTGACCTTCAAGTTAAGATTCACCCTGTGCACAACACTGTAACAAGCAGCATGATGGAAAGATAGGTTGGAATCACTCAGCAGTAAGCAAAGTGTGTGGAGGTATAGCTGTATGTTTGCATCTGTGGGCATCCTACTAACATGCGTGTAGTGACCCTGTCATAGATAGCCAAAGCACAGTATGCTGTAATCAAGGATATAGTGGCCTGCAGCCTGTCTTCATGTAATGTAGATTTCTAGTGATACAGGGATATCTGTGCTTCAACTCAGTCCTGGGCAGAGAGGATGGGCTGAGTGGACAGCACTGGGGACACTGCTGGGCACAACAGAGAACAGGCTGGATGTGAAAGATACCAGCCCAGGCACCTGACACAAGTCACAGATGAAGCCCTGAGGGATGGCTGGGTTTTGCAGGTGGAGTTACATGAGAAGTGGTTGAAATTCACAGAAGAGTGGAGGGAAGCACTGGGGATTTTTGGGAGCACAGGTTTGCAAAAACCCAGTCACTCCAACAGTAATCACATATAAAGTTGAGTATGCCTATATCAAATCTATCAGAAACCAGATTTCACTGGTTGCTGCAAAACTGGGACTGATGGGGAGGAGGTGATTTGGCAAGAATTGTTCTCTTGGGAGGATGCTGAGATGGAGAAAGGGAGTGTCAAGTCTGGTGAAAAGGACAAGAAGTGGAACAAGAGATAAGAAGGGAAAAAGTGAGTATGCCTTGCTCATCCACAGCCAAAATCAGGGCAATAACCCAACTTTTTGCTCAGACCAGAGCACATGAGTCAAACCTGACACCATTGTTGGAAAGCTGGGAGGTCTGGGTTATTTCCAGCCAGCATAGAACCCAGGGGACAGAGGGACACAGCACTCTGGTGCTGCTGTGTCGGTGGCTGCACCTGGCCTGATGGTTTTGGAAACTACCCATCACCTCCTCAGGGTAAAGAGGTGAGTCTGTGTCCTCTTGTCCTCTTGCAAGAGCAAAACCCATTGTTCATGCAGGCCAGCTGTGTGTGTGTGCAGGAACCCTCACAGCTCTGCTTATTTTTCCATTGAAAACCAAATTATGTCTAGGAGGTTGCTAAAATGTCATGCTGCAAAGCAGTGCTTAGGCACTGTTATTTGTGTCTTGTCACTGTATATTGTGATGTTGCTCTCTGTCTCTTTTTCTGAAGAGCCCAGGATAAATGCCAGAGTGACCACGATGTTTCAACTCCCTCAGCATCAGAAAGAGGATGTCTGCTTGCATAGCAGGAAGACTCTATCTTCCTTCCCAGTGAACCTTGCCAGTCTGGAGGATTTCCTTCCCAAGTTAAAAGCCTGGGGGAAAACTGATGGGAGAGGGGAAGTGCTGCCTCCAAAAACCCTTGGAGCAGTTTTGCAGTTTTTTAAAGAAATAATTCCACCAGCATTATACTACAAAGGTAAACTTTTGTGGTGCAGATCTTGGCACATGCAAATGAGAAACAATAATTAGTGATGATCTTCAAACCATGCTCCCTCCCACAAGCAGTGGTATAATTATCATTCACAGATGATTACTCATTTTTATCTACTTTCAACATGAAAGTTAGTAAATCTTAGGCTGTGAAAGCTCGCAAGATACTGTTGAACTGCAATGTGATACAAACTAGGACTCAATACAGATTGAATCCTGCTTATCGTCAGACATAAATAAAATTCTCTGGGGTAGCGAAACACACAGATTTCTCATTGAAAAAACTAGAGTAGCACCCTACTCTAGTCAAAATGTTTTGTAATAAATAACACTCTAAATTTATAATAATTTGCTTTCAAGAGATTATCAAATGAAAAAATAACTTTAAAACTCATCATCACATCCCTTTGGACCCTTAGCAACATACTTGTAAAAAGTCTCTTGTTTTACGCTACACAAAACACCCATGCAAACTTCAGCTATTCCTGGTAGTTCATTTCACTATACCCTTTTCATGCCCTATCTTATATCCTGAGATGTTTAACTTATTGTCAAACAGGCTTGTTTAACCAGAGGCTCTAATTTCCCATACTTTAGAGCCAAGTGACATGGGTAGCTGGATCTTGCAAAATCTTTTGGGGTAGAATTTATAGTAATCAGTTGTATAACCCTACACTGTTAAAACATCAAAGTGCTGCCTTTTCCACCATGATGTGGCAGATAGAACATCTCCCTGTACCTATTCTTCCTCCAGATATTATTTATGGAGATAGAAACCTTCTTTCACTATAAATCTGTGCCTGAAAGAACAGAAAATGAAAAGATGTTTTGATTCGTCTCCATTTGTTTTGCAGATGACATTTGTACAAGTGCTGAAATGAGCTAGCTTGTGTACAGAAACATCATGTTACATTAGCATGGAGTACTGAATGGGTTAATTCACCCAACCAAGAAATTGTAAATTCTCAGTCATGGAGTTCCTGATTCCCACGGCTAGACAGCCTTGTTACCTGAGTTAACCTGATTAAAGTTAGCTGACATGCTCTCCCCTGGCACGCTCATGACATCTATATTAACAGAGGCAGCAAGCTTGTTTGATTACCCCAGAGCAGCATTTAACAACTCCAGAGCTGTGCTTCTCACCTGATCTTTTCTCAGTGCAAAGATGCTGTCAATCCCTGGTGATATCCTAGTTTAGTAAATAGCCAGCGCCAGAGGACATGCAACCTACACACTTAACCTCTTATCTGGAAAGAAAAATACAATCTGTACCTGTTACTGACCCTTGCAACCTTCATGCTTAGCATTCTCACAGAGACATTATTCTCTGATGAATTTTTTGTTTTAGAAAACTTCTGGTTAAGATCGTGCTTCTTCCTATTTCTAAATGTTTTTCACTACTAAAGATTTTCCTCTGTATTTTAGGTCCTACCTCACTTTGTACATGCATCATTACAACATGCTGTGTCACCAAAAATCCCTCTCCCCAGCAAATTTTTAAAGCTTTAAAAATTTTTTTAAGCCTGTGTTGTTTTATGAAGTTGACTATGTCACCAATCCCCTGCTCTGGATGTTTTCATGCGTCAGGAAAACATGAAAATTTCAAAGACCTGGTGACAGACCCAAATCACTGGCTAAGGAACGGGGAGTTATGGCAAGGGAAGGCATTTGTCTAGGGTTTTGTGCTGCTGCCAGTACCCACTGCTGCTTTTGGCCTGGCTGTTTTGCTTTGCTCTTCCCTTTTGCTCCACTGAATGGTTCAGCAAGGGGCACACAGGCACAAAAGCAAAGAGCATTGATGCTGGGTATTGGCGGGTCCTACGGCCCTTCAAAATCCTCCTGCTCAACCTTCCATTCAGACTATTTATTCATTGACTGTATGACTAAAACCTGCAATCAGATAAAATACAGGTGGGAGGACAGCTTGGATAAGGAGATATACTATCAGACATTGGCAGCTAAGCTGTGTTAGATTGCTCCTTATAATTCCTAAGGTGAGAGGGCAGAGAAGTGTGCCATCACCAGCACTTACAGCCCTCCTAAAAAGCAGCACTTGGGATGGTGCTCCACTGATGAGCAGGCCAGGGACAGATATTCATGAAGCTGGTTGTTATGGCTTAATGGTAAAGTGAAGGCACACAACATCTGAAAGATCCCGAGCAGGCAAGTCCATCCCCAAAACCTGCAATTCTTCCTGCAGCCACAACTCAGTCTGCCAGGCAGCAACTAAGATGAATATCCATTCATAACGGCTCCCAGAAACATTTTGCCAAAGCAAAATAAACGGCAACCACATTCACCTTAAAAAACCCCAAACAAAACCACAGTAATTCCAACTGTGGAAACCATGCTGCCATGGCACTGGAAGACTGCTGCTGAAGTGATCCCCTGTTTCTTAGCTAGGAAGAGCAGAGATGGCATCTTGGTGTTTGAAGGAAATACAAAATCACAGAAAAGGTGCTGGAGGACTCAGATAGAGAGGGGTTCACTCTATTTCTTCTGAAAAAAAGTCTTACTTTAAAAACTGGAACCAGGGACAAAATGTTTCAGTGTCCCCTTGATCACTAACAGTGTAATCTCTCTGAGTAAAAAAATCTTTGTTTCTCCTTTTGAATAGGCTTATAAAAAGAAAACCCACTATAGAAGCTCATTTTGAATAATGTTTACTCCTAAAAAAAATTCTTGGCTTCCCCTGGTTGTGTTTACATGGAGAATGGAAGAACTGTCCACAGACCTCCAGACCTCCAGGTAATTCGAGGTCCATAGACCTCTATGTAACTTTTAAAATAATATTAATTATTCTGAAGTTTAGTATCCTTTGAACTAATGATGTTCTGTTTGTTTTGTAATTAGAATCAAAACTGTCTTGCAGTGACTCTTCTCCCATGGTCTTTTGGAAAAACAATCATGCAGAGCTTGTGAAATTGTTGTAAACCATGACTATTTTGCTGGAGCAAAATCCCATGTGGGAAAACTATTTTTTAAAAAGAATCTTTCATTAGAAAGAAGTCTGTTTCATTTGCAAACTATTAAAGTACCTCACTGGAACATCTTAAAAATTGCAGAGGAGAAGAATAAGAGGACTATGTCCAATATAACTTGAAAGAGTTGCTGTGGAAACAGTTGGGTTTTCTTACATGCTGATAATCCTCATTTTTACTTCATTGAGTTGAAGATACCAACAGTTTGCAAGTCTAATACTTCGCATGCTGTACACAGGCCTGGCAGGAGCACAGTTCACTGTCTCATTTGCTAGCAACTCCAGGGAGGGAAATGCAATTTGTTACTGGGAGACCATGTAAAGATAATGGGATTCACTTTTCTTGCAGCTCCTGCTGCCTGAATGCTGAGTCAGTTCCAGAAATTCAGCAGCACTGTAAGGTGCCCATGAAGTGGGTTTATCATCTCTAGGCACATGCCTGAAATCCTATTTAATCATCTTTGTTTTATGGTTTGAAGCAAACCTAAATATGATCCTAAAAGTGCAACTTTGTAGGGAAGACTGGTTCCATATGGTGAAGAGCTACTACCTAGCCACCTTTCCTGTGTCACTGGTGGCTCTAAAGACCTGTATTGTAATGATTTGGGCTCCCGGTCTTCTCTTTCTTAATGGAAGAGCCTGAGCACTCATTCCTCATATTGATGAACTGTGCTGTTGCTCCTCATACAGAGGAAAAAGCCTCTGCACATACTTTATACAGGTGCTACATTATTAAAGATGCTTAGGTCAGTGAAACCCTGGTCCATAAAATTTCCAACTCATATAAAGATAGTTAAACTATAGCTTCCTGGTGCATAAATCCCTTCTGAGTATTGGTATGAGGTTCCTAAATTAATTAGCTGCTTTAGGGTTTCTTTCTGAGGAGTATTCTCAGGCTTGGATCCCTGCCATGTAGCACAGCATGAGTGGCAGGGTTGGGAAACTACTGACAGGAGCTGAGTGTGCTATGGTCTGTTGTAGTTCTGATGCTTTGCATTTAAGTGATGAACTAGAAAGGGAAGCATCTGCTTTTCAGGGTCTCCCAAATGCATTGAGAGAAAAACTTCAAGAAAAATTTGCACTGAATTCTCACCTGCAAATGTATTTTCCATCTCAATTTCTCATCTTGCTGCTTAGAGACATGTCAAAGACACACAAATATTTACCGATGAATATCGTTTATTCAGCTCTGGGGAAATGGTGCTATTTGCATTTATGTGGAGACTATGACTTTATACAAGCTAAATGTCACTGTACATGCGTTGTTTTTCTAGTCAGTATTTGTTTCTTGCTGCTATTCTCTGTCAGGAGACTGATGTCAATGGAGTTTGTTTAATCTCCACATGACTTGGTTCTGTACACAACTGCTC